GTTGTTTAGTCTAACTCGGAAATTTTGTACTTTGCCGCGATCATAGCTATATGCAAAAAGTAGGTCCATTTTCCGTCCATCTTAGTAAGCATATTCAGCGCTCAACTTTTAGAGTGCATTTGAACTCTGGGTACCTTAAAGAGAAATGTTTATCAACAACTAATTCTAAAAATGGTCCAAAAATAAGTCCGATGTAAACTTCAATCTAAAAGATGAATGTAGTCATGAATATTTGCTAGTTGCGTTACAAAAGTCAATCAAACGCCAGTCTTGGGTGGGAATGTCTAAAGTTAAGCGCTAGCAAAAAATTAAATTAAGTAAAAAAATTCATTGAAATGAAAAGCTGATATCAGAAGTACTGTAAAGATTGCTTCATAATAATATCAAATAATTTGTTTATAAACACTTCGCTCGATATACTTAATCTGAAACTATTTTGAGTATAAGAAAAGTTCGGTTCAATTATGAACTTAGAAGTTCCACAATGAAAATAACAAATAAACGAAAAACATGGTTAAAAACTGACATTCATTTGTGAATATGAAAAAGCTACGATCAGACATATTTACGAATTCCTACGTTCTTCGAAGAGCAGAAGTGTTGTACACATCTCCGAGGGCATGATTAGTGTAATTAAACAATTCAAAGACGAAGTAAAAGGAAGGATATTGTGGAGTCCCCTTTTAACTTTCGACAGACTGAAATTACCAACCAATTAGGATGTTGTGGGCGGCGAGTTAAAGTATTCATGCATAAAAATTTCCTTGACAAAAAAGTCAATTTAAAAATATTTAATAACTAACTAAGCCGCTGCTACTATCGCGATTTTTATTTTCGTTTTCCCCTTCCTCTTCTTGTTCTGTTTGTGGCAAGTGAAGTGACCGCCTAGCAATGTCCGCCTGGAGTGAAATTGCAGTAGGAAGCAGCATACTTGACGAAAAGCGATATGATTCACGGTCCTTGAGTGCAGGGGTTACAGGTTCTGAATTCATATAAGAAGTCTGAAGGAGACTATCGTCTGCCGTCAGGTCAGTTATGCTTCTGTTTGACGGAGATCTGTTATCAGGCACAAATTGGGCAACAACCTGAGAAGCCCGTATTGGAGAGATGAGACGATTCGGATAAGAAAGGTTTTGAATAAAAGAGCGACTTGGAGTTCCTCCGGTTGGCAAGTAAGTAGGTTGTACCTGATCCAATCGTGACGGCGCCTCCTGGGCTATACAGGACAGACTACCAATCAGATCTTTCAGGCTTTTATTCATCTGAATAAAGGAAATGAAACAAACAATAACCAGTAATGATTAACCCTTATTTAAAAATAAGCGTTTTGGGAAATATCATTCAGGCGAACTAAGGCTTTTAGATAAAACAAATGTATCAAGCTCATTTTAAGCGAACGAAAAAATTAGATGGAAGAAGCCAGTAGGAAATTCGAAATAAGGGAGTTATCATAGTTTACGTTAAAATTAATGTTTTATGCTTGAAGAACTAAGTAATTCCAGAAATAAACAAATGCAAAACTTTAATTTTGCTTGCATTTCTTGTGGTTATTACAAAAAAGTAGAAAATGTAATTTTGGCGAGAGCTGATTTCCACCAGCTAGATGAATTTGAAAGGATAAAATCAAAAAATATGCATAAAAAGGGAAGGAATATTGTCGTATACAGCAAAAATTGAATTAAACGTGGGATTGATAGGATTCGAGAAGGACATGCCTTTGATAATCATACTAAACAATCTAAGATTTATAATATATTTGGCTGTTGAATAAATACATTACCTCTTCCGTGTTGGAATTCAGTTGGTGGGAAAAGCCTTCTAGTGAATGCAGTTTAGTCGCCTGTTCAGAGAATTGATCAGAAGAGTAAAGGGATAAAGCTTCCAGAGCCTCTGATGCATTGCTTAAATTTTCAATAGGATTCACCTCTCCAGATTCTGTGGCAGTGTCAGGTCTAAATGTGCGCTCCTTAAACTCGGACTCTCGTCTATCTAGTTGTTGGGCAAAACGACTCCACGCTTCAGCCTCGACCTCCAACTTGGAAGGAAGTATTTGCGCAGCAAGTGAGGTAAGTGTGGCGGCTCCAGGGTCGTCTGTACTAGGTTTCAGGCTAGAAAGGTCGGATTCAAAGAATTGGGTGTCACAATTTTTGGGTAACAGTTTGGCTTGCGCAATTTGAAGTAATGCACTTGAGGCGAGGGCTAATTGGGAAGCCTGATCGTTGCGAGTAGCTTCAATATGGCTGATTAATTCAGTCAGATAGTCAGATGAAAACTTTACATGGCTGAGACCGGCGGAACGCAAATTATCAATGGAGATGGAAAGAGAGGAAGAATGTAGCTTTGTCCAATCAACTAGCTGTTTCTTAAGGATATCTGCATTCGAAAGCTAAGGGAAAAAAGCGGAAGATAGAAGATGATTAAAATGGAAGAAAATTTGAGAATTATTATAATAAGAGCAGATTCACTTTAGGTGTTGTGATGAAGTTCAATTTCCCTACATTTAATTGAATTTCACATCCTTGCTTTTTTTGCAAATTGAAATTAAAAGACATGAGAGCTGTGCATCTCATTATTGAAAAATTCTCCAGCAGTCTAGGGTTGCTAGGGCTCATATAAATATAAAACCGATCAGGTCTTATATATATATATATATACATATATGAACATATGTATGTATGTATGTATGTATGTATGTATGTATGTATGTATGTATGTATGTATGTATAGTGATAATAAGAAATATCATTTACTTACGGATGAAGATACGTCCGTTTCAATTTCATCAAGTAAAGCTGATTCTTCGGAACGAAGCTAGTTCATAGAATAAAAAAGTAAAGAGGTAGGAAACAAGATTTGATAGTTTTTACATTTGATACAAAGACAATTAAAAATAAGTGAGTTGCAGAGCCAGTAAATTCGAACCGAACACCCCCCCCACAAAAGTCTAAGAGGATAATCTGTATAATATGAATATACATTTAAAATAATTAATGTTACATACTCAAGTATTTTATTTTATGAATATAAAACTAGTGGTCAAATGATGGTACAGCGGTAACTGCTAAGTTGAAGCGGGCAGTATTTGCTTGCAGACGTGCACAAAGCCCATGAGTAATTCGATACATAAGAACCCAGAGAGGAGTTAAGGCCACCCAAGCCCTTAGACATTCTTCCTGTTTTCT